CCATTCTAATAAAATTAAAAGTATCGATGATCACCCTCTCCTTACAATCGAGTAATTTAGTAATCGAGTAACTAGCAATTAAAATAAAAGAAACTAAATCAAACGATCTTCGCAATGATGATGCGACATATATAAATATACTTAAGTGTTTGTGATTTCATCCAAGATTTGCTTCTTGGTTTGATTGAAATTTCGTCTATTTTTCCATTACTTGGCGATAAAAATTTATGTCTGTGGCTATCACGATTATTATCACTTTCACGATGACGATTTGACAAGATAATTGTTTATTTGATTTGACTGAATATGATCTGAAACTACTGGACTGATTTTAATCTTTCACCAACGAAAAGTTACATCATACGAGGGTGCCATATTCTATCATCATGTGGATGAAGTCGTGGAAACAGCTTATTGATCTAAGTATTCGCCTATCTATGTATGCAAGTTCTAAGGAGCTAGAAACCAAGAAGTGTCAATGCTCTAGGCGCAAACCTTGGGCTTATAACTATTTTATTGCGGTATTAATCCATAGTGTGACCATAGAATTAATAAGTACTACGTACAACTGGAATGCTAACTGCGATCTTTTTGACATATCAAAATGAACCTTAATGATATGGGAATAAAGTGTTTTTTAAATAACCATTATCTACATAGAGAAATGAGCTCAAGTGAGACTTCTTTTTTCTTGGTGTGTCTCTGTCGCACAATTGCCATGTGAAATATTGTTGATATAAAGGTGGTAAATTCGTGAAAACTGTTTACACAGAACAAAACGTTTTCTATATGAATATTATATTTGGCTTGTTTATAAATTTACTAATAATATAAATGCAATAGCTTTTAGGTCCAGATAAATCAAAGTTTTTATATTTCACGACATTTCAATATTGTAGGCATGTTTTATTACCTTTACGTTATGCAACACTACCCAAGTAGCACAAAAAGCTGAATAAAGGGTGAATAATGGCATTTCAGATGCTTTAAGCAGCATAAACTTGCCATAAAAAAGAATTTTAAGCACTTAAAATTCCATTACAATGCTGATTTGGGCACAAATCTTAGTGCCTTAGGCTTACGCGGGTGCCAAAAGGCATTAAAATAGCATTGTAATGGAATCAATAAGGTACACAGTGACGATTATAGCCGTATAGTAGTACTAAAAAGGCACCGTAATGGAATTTTAGCATTCTTTAGCCCCTAAAAAAGTCCAACTTCTACCCATTACAATTCTTAAAGCGCAATAGTGTCGTATATGCGGTGTATTTTATAAAGTTCGTATTTTTTTTTACATTCAAAACATTTGTGTGATGTGCAGCAGCAGTGACTGTGATAAAACAGAGGTGCGACGCCATTAACTGTAAGTATTATTAAATTTGTTAATATTGTATTGGGTGTTAGATGGTTAATACGTGAAATAGTCTTGCGGAGGCAAGTTTACTGTTAATGTCCATATACATTTCTATTGAATTTTTTTATGCGCCTCGAATATGATGAGTATTTAGTTAAATATTATATAGAAAAAGTGCCTATGAAAAATTAAATATTTATGTTTTTGGTTGTTATGTCCACAGTTTTATATTTAGGAGACTTATATATATTTTAGAATTGTAAATTGAGCAATAAGTAATAGCTTACATCTATAGTTTACTTATAATATTTACATGAAATATCGTGTTAGGTTAGGTTTGAACGATTTAATGGCGGAGTATTTAAGCAGAATTGTAGTACGTTATAGTTCCATTACAATTCTTTTGGCTATGAAATGAACCTTTAAAATTCCTTTTTTTCTTTTCCAGTTCTAGCTTTCGTTTTCCACGATTTTACCTTTTTTTTCGTAGACGATAGCATTTTGTTGTTTTCAACCACACACGCATACGACGGCGTATTAATTCTATTAAAATTCTTTTACTCTTCAGGACGCTCTAAATTGCCTTCTTTTATTGCCTTAAGAATTATAAAAGAATGACAGTCACCTATTTAAAATGCCAGAATCAAAATGGTGTAACCCATCCATTCTACAGAACCTTTGCCATTTTCTACCTCTCTTTAAGTTCTTTTATAGAACTCAAGGAATTTAAAGTAGCCTAAAGCAGAATAACAGCATTAAAATTGATCCATTACTGTCCCATTCACTGACTTTATTCGACTTTAAGCATTAAAATGGTTATTCTTACATCTTTTAAAATTTAGCATCAAAATGGTATGACGAGTGTCTGTTATAGAACCATTGGCATTTTGCGCCTACTCTTACAATTCTTTTACGTTACCTTAGGTATAAAAGTATGCTTTAAGCAGTAAAATGGCATTACAATCAGACAGAATTACACTAAATGCATTAAAAAGGCATTTGTTTTCTCCATTTTTCAGCTTTTACGCAGCCTTTAGCATACGAAGTTAAAATGAATTCAATTTTACGGCTTTAGGATGTTGGGGAAACCTCTATAAATCTTTTTTAATGCCTATTGCCATAATGAGGTCCACGTATGGATAATTATAATTCCTTCTGTGCTACTTGGGTAGGTAAATTGAAGTATTCACGTGGCAACACAAAAGCAACATGACGTTTTCTTTTTTGTCATATGGACTTGTTTTTAATGCTCTCTGAATTAAAAAAGTACTTTAAATAGTATATTGGATTGAAAAATGGTAAACAATATATGTGCTGTGAGTGGGTATGGGAAAGAATCGTACCTGGCTGTGGATTATCTTTTCACAGGTAAGTATGTCATCAGTAGAAACTAGGGTGACTATACTTTACGTATAGAGATGTAAAGTACGTACGTACTATAAGCATAGACCCTATTTTTGCCTAATTAAGTACTAAATTTAAACTTGTTGTATCACTTAACACTTTGGTTATTCACTATTTGCAAGTCTACCTACATTAAGCAAGCATGTGGAGGCTCATAAATGGATATCCTTTAATAATTTTATTGGTCAGTAGGCTTATCGTTTGATCGATCTTTTGCAAATATCTATTTACACACCAAACCAAACCAAATTATTACTATAATAAAAAATATACATTTTAATTTAAATTTCCAGTTTGCCAACCGATTTAGAGTTAAAGAAAAAATGGTTGATACCTGGGAACTTACATGAAAGCTGTGTGGTTTGTACACTTCATTTCAAACCCAAAGATTACCGAACAGAGGCTGTAAAAAGGCTGAAATCAGAAGTGATTCCTTCAATCTTGCCAAAGGTACCTACCTAATATTAAAGCACTCATTTATAAACAACATTATATCGAAAATAATAAGTTAAAACAACAATTCATATTATAACTTATTTTTATGTACCCACCTAATTTCATTACAGATTTTTCCTGATAACAAAAAAAATAATGTGTTAAACGCCTTTAGTTATACGCCTGACTAAAGTCCTTCATGTAAGAAGTTAAAACTTGATATTAATACTAGGCAAAAATCAAAAGAAGAGACATGAAGAAGAAGATTAATAATTTAAAGTCATTTTTAGCAGTTTTAAAAGAAAATTGTAATAATTATGAAAAGGTACAATCTGTCATAACAAACTGTTTCCCAAATATTCATCAGCAATTGAACAAAAATAAATCCAACAAAGGCATGAGATTCTCATAATAAGAATGTCAACTTATGGCAAAGGTCTCACATTCAAGGCCATTGGCACATCTCGCGCTACTTTACGCCATAAATTGCACAAAACAATTTGTTAAGTAATGTTTAATTTTAAAATGTAAACAATACAGTCATAATAAAATATACTATTTTGATTGCGTTTTATTATTAGGTCTTCCCCCAGTGGGGAGGGGGGAGGTCTGCCTATGAAATTGCTGATTTCCATAGTTTCAAAATTTATTATTGTTGAGTTGAGATTAAATAAGATTTTTTTCTGCTTCATATTAATATTATTCAATTTCAATAATCAATATTTTCTTTTAATGTCCAATGTATTCAGGTAAGAATGGTTACACTACTTAGAAAGGGACAAACCAAGATTTATGACCTCTCACTCGGCGCATGTTTAGACGCACAGTAAGCATTCTAGTTGTACGTAGTACTTATTAATTCTATGAGTGTGACAGACTCTTTTTGACAACTCGACATCAATTGACAGCTGACAGTTTATATACTTTACTCTTTGTATAATATTTGTGTGCATTATATGTAGAGATTTTTGATTATTTTTACTAAAAATCATGAGTCATTTACAATTAATCATTTAAGTTTAATTTTTTTATCAGTTTTAACGTTTTATTGGAGATCTTAACTAAAAAACAACAGCAAAATTGTATTCTACTAATAAAAATCTAATAAGCACATTAATAATTTAATAGGTAAGAGAAACAGTAGGTATTTGTACTAAAAACAAACAGGCTTTGATTTTATATAAAGTGTAATATTATTGTATGACAGGATTTTCTGGAGTGGATTACTGTCAAGTATTACAATTTTGAATGACACAGCTAAGTATTTTTTTGGGGAATATAGTGTGCTCCCATAGTAAAAGATGTTCAGTATACTTAATTTAGTTACCCCACGAAGTCCTGGCATATATTATAATATTATAATATTACACATTATATAGTTGATCAAAGTCTATAATTAAAGCAAACAGGTTATAGAGAATTATCTATTGCAAGCGATTTCTAAATCTTGATTCTTCTTATTGCTACTTCAATGCTTTTATGAATTGCTATTTACGATATTGTGTCTTCAATTTGAAAGACCGATTCCAATATATTTGAAGTCTGGCAATATTATTATCATATTATACCGTATATTATTCTGATCAATTAATGGAGGTGCCACAACCAGATGACCTAAAGATAGCAGAAGCAGTTGAATCCATTGAGGGGAAGAAGGAGTCTTTTAACATTCAATTTGGACTTTTCTATACTTTTGTGTTATTGAAATCTCTGCTCTATTCTTAGACTTAAGAATACAAATACGACATCGATTAAAAGCTGTGTATGTATGAAATATTTGTCTTTCTTTGTTTCAGAGTAAAGAATCATGGCCAAAAGTGCTGAAGCAGAAGTGGAAAAAATGAAGATGTTAGAAGAGAGAATTAAAGCACCTTCAATATGGGGTAGAGTTCCATGTGGCATTAGATTTGAAGATCTACAAGATAGACGTTATGAAGATGCAGTGAAATTTGTAAAGAAGCATTTCATACGTGAAGAGGTAGATCTTATTATAGTCAATTTATATTTTTTCTGATAAGGATGATGTTGTTTATATTTGTTGATGTCAATGAGTTTAACCCAAGTTATTGTTACATTCAAGATATTGCTCTTATCGGTTATTATTTGTGTGATGAGTAGTATTCTTATAGAGTATATAACGCAATGCCGCATATATGGATGAACTCGCATTAGATCAAATAAATTTTACTTCTACGAAATCTTTATTTGGGATTCATATTCATCTGGGCATGCAATCTCGATAATGGTAGCGATCACAGAGTTCACTGATCAAGTCAGCAAACTCTAGCGCTAGGAAACTAACTAAAATCGCTAATTTCACAGTCACTCTCGATACGTGCTCAACAAATAACAATATACTTAATTGTACACGTAATATTAAGTTAGCGACTGAATTCAGTAAGATTACAATTGCGAAGTTGTCGAGATTGTACACACGGTATATTACCGATATACTAGATTTTTGTAGAAAATTTTCATATTATCATAATATTTTTATATATAAGTTCAATTATATGAATTTATATCATCGATAGCTAAATATTTATTTTGGCATGATAAAATTGCAGATTACATATAGATCAGTGAAGTTAGATGAAGATGTAGAAGGAAGGGATGAGTTTGCACATAATGTTAGAATTTGGATGAAAGATAAGATGTCTATAGCGGCAGTTAAAGAAGGAACTGATAAACTTGTGGGAGTTCTCATTATGAGGATACAAGAAAAGAGTAAGAAAGCATTTTTGCTAATAAGTTTTCTACAAATCATATTTCTGTAATAAATTCGATCGAGAATTTGAGCGTGACATTAAATTTAAAACAATATTCACACATCATCAATTAAAAGTTGAGGATACAAAATAGGGTTACTGTATAATTTTGCAAAGCAAAACGATGTAAACTTTGCTCTGTGTTATTATCCATTTCAACTAGAGAGTTAACAAACGCTGTACATGCGTTACACAATAATATATTATTCAAAATCTTGGTTAACAAAACAGTTAATTCTTCATACTGATTTTTAATACAAGAACGTTGGTTGACCGTTTTTTAAGAAAGATTCGTGGAAATGAAATTGATACATTTAAAGTGTTTGGAGAAGAGTATTAATTTTAATGAAATTAACTATGTACACAAAAATAATCCATCGATATATCGATAAATTGAGATCCATTGATCCACAGATTTATAAGTATTAGATACGATAACATAAACGCTCGGCATCTGTTTACGTTACGCGCGGGATAAGCACTTTGCCGCGTACAAAAGTACAAGGTTAAAAACATCAAAGTTACTGGAATATTATTAATAGCGCTGAATTTGTAATCTTACTAGATGAAAATACCAAAATCGAAGAACTAACTAGAATAGTATTGAAAGTGAATGTTGTGCTGCAAATAGAGAAAGTTAAATTACAGTAAATTTTCCAAGTCTATCTTACTTTACCTTGTAATTTATTTCGAATTAAATATTGAATTTGTGATACCTTCTTGAGCTCAGATATTCCATAACAATTAACTACTCTTCCTGGAATCTGAGCAATATAAGTGATGTTGTCTAATATCTATTTATTTAAATACATAATCCTATAAATGATAAATTCGAAATATTTTACAGAAATAGAATATTTTATGTGCTGTCGTGTGTAAAATGAGTAAAATTTACAAAATTTATGTTCGACCTACATATTTAAATGTGGGTCGAACAAAAGCTCCTTAAGTACTTCATATGCAAACTTCATGCGATAAAACCTAAATAAAAAACAAAAGTATCGCGCTTTCATGGAACTTGGGCCCCGCCCAATGCGATTTCGATACACTATTCGGAATCTATTTGCGTATCTATCGATTCAAATAAAACTCGATTTGGAATGTATCGATGCCAGTAACATTAGGGACCAGATTCTTTGAATGCTTTGAGCCTAAATTTTTACTGCATCCGTAAAAAGAATTCCGATTCAGCTTCAGGATTTGGTAGTTGGTTTAATATATAAATGCGAGCGTTATGTTTTGAGCATATTTTTATTTTGTTGTTCTTGCGCAATTAAAATTATCAAACTATAAATTTCCCGAGAAATATGATGCAATATTTTCTGTTCAGTTAAAGTTTACAATAAAATAGAGTTAAAGTTAATATGCATGAAGGAGGCCTTTGAATAGATTTAAACAAAAAATCTTATTCTAAAGTTAACAGCACATCCGATTACCCAGTTTGTTAATCCAAACCAATAAGAAAAATTTGATATCAAATTTCTCTATAATGGTCGAGTGTATGTAGATAGAATTTATTTAATGTACGTACATGTGTGTGTATTTTTGTTTTGATTTTTTTAACAGCGCCTCTTTCTTACGTAAAGGTAGGCTTTAAATAAAATTTTATATATGTATGCGCTCAATACGAATTTGATTCGCACTGGATGGCTTTTGTTAAAAATATATGTATAATAACTAGTGCGTCATCGGCTAAGCTCTATTCCAATTTAGGTGAAGTAAGTCTAGATCAGCATTATATTATAACCATCGATACTTTTCTTGTAGGAGAATTTAATTTCAAATAATTTATATAAAATAAATTTGGGACAGCTTTAGTTCTAAAAGTTTATTTGTACGCTTAACAGTAGTGACTATTTTTGAGATAAGAGAGCGAAAAACTAGCTATGCTCCAGTTTCATTAGCGAATCTCGGTGATATACTGAATAACAGACCAATAATCACGATTCAGATTAACAGATTTTATTAACATTATTTAGAGCACGAAAATGAAAGTTGATACAAATTTTTAGCTTATTATCAGTTATTCCGAGATTTACCTTTTTTGTTATAATTTGACTAGGATAAACTTAGCTTATTTTTCTACCATAAATGCAAAACATCTGAAATTATCTTCCAAATGAATAATTAATAAATGTGACGTCCATCATTTCCAGATGGGAAAATATAAAGAAGGTAAGTTATTTCGACATATTTTTCAACTGCGACATGTAAGCATTCATTTCCGGTAAAAATTCTTCAGATTACAAATAACCGTTCACCAATTGAAAACACAAATATTAATTGTGCTTCGAACTATGGAATGCTGAATCCTATGGGAATCTGCTTTTATAGACTATTCGTCACTGATAGCTATAGCTGAAAATAAGGTACATATAATCAATTTATAAAAAATAATATTTCCGTTTTCGGTTGAAATCCGCTTTGACATTACAGGCCAGAAAGCCATTTAAAATATCAAACAAAGCAAAATAAAGCTACCATCAAGTGATTTCATTAGTAAGTATTAGCATAGTATTTTAATATCTGTGGTATAAGATATTCATTGAAGATCTTATTAAAAAAATCGCTCACCGCTCTCTCTCATATTTGTACCGCGTATTTTGTACGTAAATTGGATTCCAAGTAGTGGATCGGGATAGGTCTATATTAGGGCGTTGCGATGGTACCCACTGAATAAGGAACAACGTAAGGTAAACTCGGCCTGGCCTTACTTCGACTGACGAGATTACCCGAATATTTGTTAAGTGGCATATCGATTTCAAGTCGGCCTAGAGAATGTTGGGATTTATGTAATAATTTTCCATCGAACTTGCTTTATTTTCTATGAAATTCTGCAAATTATAAATAAGGTTTGTTTATTTTGTTGTTGATGTTTATATGTTTCGATCATTTTGAGTAAGTACTACAAAAAGTTTTTATTGGACGGCACTTTGTGCTTCTGTATTGTATCCAAAGTCCTAAATTCCTTCCCTTTTTCTCTCTGCGTTCTAATATTTACAACTTATAATAACCACTAAATCTAGCTTTCTGTAAGAATACAGTTGTAGTAAATTATTCAATTATATCTCTTTTTCATACCCTGACAAGTAAACACGTCTCAATATATAAGATTTTGTTTTATATTAGAGAAAGGTAATTGAAAATAGAATATAGACCCTAATATGGAAATATTGAAATTACTTCTCAAATTATTCGTAATACGGGAAAATTTCTTTGGAAAGGATTATTTGGAAATATATATTTGTTTAACAACTCATTTTGAGTATACTTTTCGTGGTATACTGGTCATAAATCACAATAAAAACAAAAGAGAACCGCATCACTGTGATTGCATTACATAAAGTAGGTATGGAGACAAAAACAATTTTCAAAACGCTCGATATACTTAGTATTAGTCAAATGTTTGTGTATCGGGCTATTGATAGGTACAATGAAACCTCCTGTGTACTGGCTGGAAAAAATCTGGCTGTCCACGTAGTGTTCGTAAGGAAAAGACGATCAAAACAGTAAGAGAAAGAATTCGAATAAATCCTGTCCGAAAGCAAAAGATTTATCCCGGGAGATAAAGTGCTATCCTAGAACTATGTCGCCATTTTAAAAGATGACATAGGAAGAGTCTGGTCACTTCTTAATCCATAACTTTAATAAAAGTGTGGTAAAATCAAACAACTAATAAAGCGCTACGCAAAGGGAGTTCACAGAAAATCTTTGCTTACGGATGAGAATTTTTTTACAATTAAGTAATATTTTAACAAAAAATATCAAAGTGTGTAAAAAAACTTTTGATAAAAAGAAGAACCGACTTCAAACTTTAAAAATTATATAATAGGCAGCCGACTTCAATAATGTTTTCTGGAATAAGTCGCTTTTGAAATAAGTAATATTTGTCACTATTTTAAAGTTTGAAGTCGGATCTATTTTTGAAAAATGTTTTTATTTCATGATTTTAAGTGATATTGATATTTTTTTATATAAGAGGTACTACTTAAAAATATGAAATATCTATACATAGAAATAAAAATATTCTACATAGTGAAAGTATTAGAAAAAGAGGTTTTGTTTATTTGCTCGACATATTTTTTCCAAATATCTATACTATTGTTTGTTTGCATTTAATAGGTTCAGAAACTATTGGACCGATTTATAAGTCTTTCATCTATGGGAAGCTACATAATATGCGGCGGACTTTGGCTATAATTTACATAGGCGAAGACGCGGGGAAACGGCAAGTTTGATATAAATTGGTTCACAATTCAAGAAGAACTCGATAAACATACTTATCCTCTATATATACTTTACTCTTTGATACCTACTATCTATGACTTTCATAAAAAATATACAACAAAAGGTAAAATTGAACATAGCAAAACATCCTTCCAGATTTTGAATGAATTCATTGAATGAATTAGGTGATATCTGTTGGAAAACGTATTTTGTTTTATTATAAAACGAAAACTACTTATTCGATCACGATAAAATTTTAATGGGACCACCTCGATCCATCAAGCTGTCAAATTAAAAATGAATTTTTGAAAAATCGGTCATCAATAAACGGAAATAGCGGTGAACATATAAAAAAAATATATATATCGCTGTCCAACATAAAACCTCATTCTTTTCGATTTTGAAGTGAGGTAACACCGTATGGTCAAAGTTCTAAAGAAGTTTCACGATTAGTTAACAGAGTACAACGTGGGCATTATCCGACTTCAGTGATGCTTTCTTTGGTGGGGTGTAAGCTAGAGTGACCGAGACATATTTTTGTGAAAAAATTATCAAAACATCGGTACAAGTGTATCAAGATACCATTCTCGAGAAGGTAGTTAAGCCCTTTATCAACACCATGCTTAATAACCAAGAATGATCCTTTCAGCAAGACTCGGCGTCAGATTATAAAGCTCGATCGATCCACCGAATCTTGGTTAGAAATGAACTTAGACAGACTAGCCATCGTCCAGCTTAGAACATTATTCAATGGATTATGATTTAATGTCAGATTTAGAGAGTAAGACTTCTTCTAAACGCCATGATAATTTTAAAGTCCTAAAACGATCCATACGATTGGCAGTTAAGAGTTTACCCATAGAAAGAGTGCGTGCGTCTATTAATAACTGGTCTCAACTTTTAAAGGACCATATTGCAGTCAATGGAGACCACTTCGAATAAGTTATATATATTTTAATATTAATGTATTAAGCTATCACACTCTAATAGTAATAAATGTTACGTTCAACAAAAAAAATGTGGATTTTCTATGTTACAATATTTATGGCAAGATTATGTATATTTGGTTACTTTTTTTATCTGAATTTAAATATTTGTTAAAGAAATTCTTTAACTAATTATAAATTTGTTATTTAACTATTCGAGTTTGAATGTTTCAGATGCGTTTTCACGAACATTTAGCCGTGTGAAGCTAACCCACAATCCTCTATACACAACAGTCATGAAGTTTTACAATGAAATCGAGAAACCTGTGGATATTTTCCATAAGCTTGGTGTCAGAAAATATTTTAAGGTTTACATAATGGCGCTGAAGCAGAGGTACAGGCATAGAGGTAAATATTCGAACGGTGTTTATTTATGTTATACGTGTCTTTCCATAAAACTTTATCAAGTGTTGTAATGAGTGACCACTAAATTAACCATGCTGACAGGAGAAATGGGATGCGTTTCACTTGTTAAAAATTTAGAATTTTTATATTTCATCAATTTTGCATTGAAAATTCAAGATAATTTAGTATCATTTGAATATTTGATACGATATTATCATTTAACCCAAATTTTAGGCAAATTATTCATTCAGAAATTCTTAAATGGCTACCATCGAAAAGATTTTATGTACATTATATGTAAGAATCAATTTTGTTAATATATGATAGGTAAAGAAAAGAGTATTATTCTACAACACACATTCGTTCAACAGCCTTACTATAAATAGATATTCGTATGGAGGTTCGTGCGTAGGATGAAGTCGACTTATTTAGTTTATTTTGATGGATCATGAGTTAGGTCGTCCAACATACTTACAAGGAATTAACATTAAATCAAATAGGATTTTTTTTTCTTAGGTATAGCAAAAGAAATGTTGAAATCAGCAATTCCATTAGCAGCAAGCGCAAATGTGCCAGCCATTGCTGGTATTTTCACAACAGCAAGAAGTCAGCAGATCGCCCAAGAGATTGGATTCGAGAAACTCAATGAAATATATTATATTAGATACCTCATCGATGAGCAGGTGAGTCATAATTTAGGCAGCTAACTTAAAAATTATAAAGTAATAGCTGTTTTCCTGCGACTTCACAAGAATAAATTATAGGCTATGTCGACCCCGTATTATGTAGCTTCCCGTAGGTGAAAGAATTTTAAAATCTCCGGAGTTTATTCGATGCAAACAGACAATCAAATCTTTTCTCTTTATAATATTAGTAGTCTACTAGGTAGTCCTGTATGATACATATCAACTTACCTCTTGAATCACTCTGTATATTGATGTAAATGGCGTCAGAATCCGTTGTACAGATTAAAAGGTCTCAGCGTAAAACAATGGGAAGCCATTTTGTTTTATACTATGAGTATATACGAAATTGACAAAATTTAATTTTTTAAATAAAACATTGTAGGTGGTGTTCTGGGATACCGGTCTTGGTAACTACGGCGCGGCGCTGATGGCGTATCGTATTCCAGATATTGAGGAGCCACTAGAGGTCAAAGCACATGCGTCTTCTAGATTCAGTATGCAAGCTTTGGACGATGAAGAGAATGAAGAGAATGAATAATAACTATTCTGTTGTTTCTTTTATTTATCAAACGAAAAAATATGATATTTCATCTTCTTATAATAAAAGTCAACTGAGAATTCATTAATTTTATGTAGACGACAAAATGAGAACCAGTACCAGTACCTTCAATATTAGATAGTGTAAATCAAAATAACCCTCCGCCTCCAATATTTCCCGATTTTGAAACCACGCAATCTATTACGATGTGGTTTTCATTTTTGGATAAAACGAAATATTCTATCCAGCATTTATAACTTTCTAAACTATTAGGAAATATTAATATTATATGTTTAATATATAAGTGTTTAAAGTTTCGTTTTGATTGCATACCCTCATTTTTCGGAATGATTTTAATGTGAATTGCACAAACATAAAACAATTAGCTTGTGACACAAGTTATTATTTCCGAAGTTGACTAATATTGAGTTACTCGTATATTCAGAACGCTAAACGCTGTTTGTAGTTTAACTACAACGTCCCATGTAATGTTCAATTGTAGGTATATATGAGTCATATCGAGCTATCCAAACATTCAATTCCGTAGTGGAAATGTGACATTACATTGTCATACAACGGATCGCAAGTGTCCTTATCGCTTGGCGTCAACGAGATCTCTTCGCAGTCGTCCCTCAAAAGAATTTAACGACATGTCCATAAAAATCCTAATCGACGGACGTCCGGTAAAATTACAGCAATTTGGTTCGACCGTTTTCTATCTACGGCTGTAAAAAGCTACAGGTGGCGAATCGTGTTGATGCTATATTAATACATTGTAGATATGTTTTTGCCAATGCAAGATATTTACAAATCTGCACAGCTCTTTAATCTTATTAGGATTACTTATAACACAACACCGGCTAAGGCAAAAATTCTCTAAATGATTACATGGTAGTTATTATTTCAGCACTAAACACTATTTTTACACATGGAGAGTAACCAGATCAATTTTAAGAGAACTGCAGTGGAGGTAAAATAGGGTTGTGTCCTACAAATGAAAATAAATTTTATAACATTTATTTCGAAAAAATTACGCTTAGAAAACTTGAAAAAGATAGGGAAAATATACTATAAAAATTTGTTAAAATACATATGGCATTAAATTAGTTATATAAAATGTTACAACTTTAACAGCTATAAACATAAACGCACAAATAACATAGATTGCCCAGACGCCCATACGTTTTTCGGTGCCATAATACCGTGTGACGTCACTTAGTGCATTGAATGTGTAGGGAGCGTTTTCAGCCGACTAATAACAGTTCCATAAACATAGCACTGTATCTCCGAACCTATAAATCACCGACATACTGTTACTGCTACATTATGTCTCAAATATTAATGAAGTATTTGTTTCTATTATAAAAAAAATGTTGTCAACCAACTTATTGGCTAATTTTAAAATCTATCGCAATTCTTTTCAATTTGACATATGAAAGATATTCACGAACTTTAATATGCGATAGCGATCCCTCGATGTGTTTAGGTAAGTTTTTATTATGTCTCTTGAATCCAAATACATTCGTTCCAAATACGACTTAAATCGCTATACTAGGTGTAAATGAACTACTACGAAGCCGTGATCCACCTTGCCATTCCCTACGTTTCTCAGATATTGAACTCTTCTTTAATTCACGCAACAGATTTTTGTTTTGATACGCTTTGAAGATCCGGTAGATCTATAATAACAGTAAAATCAAATTTACATTATATATATCTATCTGTATCTTCTTCACGGCCTATCTCTAGCGGGCTTTAACTAATGAACAAAATTAGTTGCAAGTTACACTATAATATTTATACAAATATATACTGATGGACAAAAAATTAGGCTACTTATATTTTTATCAGTTGTTCTTTTCATTGTTTTATATTTTTTGGGTGTTTCTAAATAATAAAAAAAACAATAACAGAAAATGTGATTTGAAATATACGTGTTTCAAGATGTTTTTATTTTGAGATCCTTATATTTTTATAAGGGTACTTTTGATCATCCATTCTGAGAAATTTTATCGGCCTGGTCCGTTATCAATATTATTACATTATTTACAGTGTAATATAAATGTAAAACTTTTAGTAAAATGGATCTAAATCTCAGAGATGCATTGTTTAGAAATTCATAATAGATTTAATGAATTATTTTTTATATTTAGATCTTCATATTTAAAACTTAATGTAAACTGCTGAGAATTTATTTAATAAAACTTATTTAATAAAATGTTAAATTAAGTTGAATCTAGACCTAGTAAGGTTTTCTTCTCATTCGAAAGATTATTAATAAGATAGATCATACAAGTTAATGTTGTATGCAAGATATCAGCTTCATCGAAAACCGGGAAGTAAGTACAATTTCTTTTAGCTTAATATAAATAAAAAAGGATATAGAACTACACTTTCCCAACGAGAATTCTTTAGGCAATATTTAATCAGTTTCCTACAGAATTTCGAATATTACCGGCGCGATCGAGAAAATATTCCAAAACGCGAAGTTTTTTAATGAAGTTTTTGGTAGAATTTCATCGGAGAGAAAAATAAGTTATTTAATTTAACTTTCGTGAGCAGTCTAGATAACGAATCTTGATCTCATTAAAATTGGAAGCGATGAGGGCGGGTTGACATCTCAATAAGGTGTTTTGATTGTTTAAATACTGTCAGCGGGTTTCGGTACTAATACATTATAGTAAAGGTTTAATTTCGAATTAAAACAAATACATTCAAGTAAATATATCAAACTATAATATTGTAGGCGTAGGATGCATTACTCTAGAGCGGGAGGAATCAAGGGATTGTTACTATAACCTCGGAAAGTTTTTACCTATATCCGGTAGCTGTTTGATATTTTTTGACATAGTGCAAAATCATATAATTAAGTCGGCGCTTTACCGGATTTGAGGATATGTGTAGGACTCTTAAAAACAGTGGATAAATTCATTGTGCAGGTTAGTAGAATGAGGCATACCCTACTTCATTATCATTATAATCAGTCCTGTTACATCCTTACTGTAAGGGCTCAGGCCTTCCTTATGAATGGTTAAGGAGGATGAGCAATGACCATCCACATATATATTCTTACTCACTAAAATCCGTAGCATAGTGTTTAAGCATCCTCATTAATTGTCTAGTCTATCATTGAGCTCAAGTTGCTACTACTAGAAAGAACATATTGATTTTAATTAAGTACCCTACCTACTTAATAAGTTTCTTCATACAATCTGATTATAGTAATAATATTCGTTTTGACCTTTTTAATTCATTAATTGTTTCAATGTGATCTCTAAAACTTTGTAATTGCAGCTAGTTTCAATTAAGTTATGTTTTCGTTATGAAGATGATTCTCCAAAACGAGAAGGGTCGAGATGAGTAAGAAATAAATACGCAGTTATTTCAAAAGTTTAATCAAAAACAATCCATTTCAATAATATTAATTAGTGTCCTGAACAAGATTTGGTTTTAGAATGAACGCTGATGTACGAAAGAAATAATATAGATGCGATGGATGATGAAAATGTATTTTTTAGATTTCAAAAAATAAAGAGGTTATGTAGCAATTCAACTGAATGTTTTATGTGTGTTTCATAATATCCTGGTCAAACATAAATTGATTGTGATAGATAAATTTTATTTATAAAGGGGAATAAACCAAGAATCGCAGCTATGGTCCCTAAAAATTTTGATTTGTATCAATAGATTTTTAGTGACCCGGAAATTGTCACATAATACTTTTTTTAATACAACTGACCTCGGCGCTTATTTGCTATGCCACCGAGCCACTAATTTAAACGAGCTATTTGATATAAATTAGGTTATTTAATTCTACTATGATAATTTCAGTATTCCGTCTAATGGGAACAAAAAAATAAATTTCTTATAAATAAATACATTGTAAACGCATACGGAAAAGAATCTTATATACTTAAAATACTGTCCTTTTATTTCTTTAAAACCTGTAAAGAGAATTTAAATTATTTAGGATATTAATATGCTGTGTGCATATGGTAAATATCAGTGTATTACAAAGTTGCTGTATAACTGCTCCCGTAGAAAAGTGGATACTGACTTAACTGACTCACTTTATATTAGGTTTCACAACTTTTAGAGGAGAAAAGCTATATTGAGAGACTTATGTATTTTTGTACAAATTGATGATTTGATGGGATAATTATTTGCCGCATCCATTTTACTTTTCGTACATTCAACCCTTCTCCAAAAATTAATTCTTCAATTTATGCAAATTAATCGCGTTTCGTTTCGCTCATAAATGTCAGTCGCTATAAAGGGAATTATTAAATTCGACCTCTTCTTTTCCCAAATAAAGTGAGCAAAACCATGGTTAATATTTCGATGTTGATTGCTTCTTGGTAAAAAGATATTAAATTTATAGGTAAAGGTAAAGATATCTATTTTTAGATTTACTAAAGGTATCGATGCAATGATATTATATAAGTAGTACCTATATTAAAAATATTTGTAACTAGTTCACATATTTTACTGTTGTTTTCATTACTTTGAATTAAATTGACACTCTTTTTCATGTTTTTAATCTACATTTTAATATCGGATAGAAGGAAGAAAAGGCCAGCCAAGAGCTAGTCAGAATTACGGCATCCACTCTGAGTCGTACATATATTTTCTTAACTATAGAATTTATATGTAATTTATAATTTGTTATGTTTAGGTAGAATTAAATAAGTTTTTCAAAATTTAAGGGCAGTAACTTGAAGTATTTATTTATTAAAAGTAATTTAATATTCTTACAATTAAATTTTTTTACATGTGTCACATAATATAGTTGGTGAAACTTTTTAAAACATTAAGTATAACCTGTCGTGCTGTTGACGTTACGAAAAAAATCTAACACAATAAAACAGTATAC